CAGGAATGTTTTAAGCAAGACATGAGATATACTTCTGCTCAGCACAGATTTGGCCTCAACTGTAGTATTGTGTCTAGTTCTGGGGGCCACTTTTCAGGAAAGAAGTGGACAAATTGAAGAAAGTCCACAGAATAACAAGAAAAATAATTAAAAGTTAAGAAAACATGACCCCTCCGAGGCACAATTGAAAAAAAAAATGGGTTTATTGTTTTAAGCAAGACATGAGATATACTTCTGCTCAGCACAGATTTGGCCTCAACTGTAGTATTGTGTCTAGTTCTGGGGGCCACTTTTCAGGAAAGAAGTGGACAAATTGAAGAAAGTCCACAGAATAACAAGAAAAATAATTAAAAGTTAAGAAAACATGACCCCTCCGAGGCACAATTGAAAAAAAAAATGGGTTTATTTAGCTTAAAAAAAGAGAAGACAGAGGGGACATGATAACCATTCTTAATAAAAGGATGTTACAAGGAGAAGGGGGGGAAATTGTTCTCCTTAAATGCTGAGAATAGGACAAAAAGTAATGGGCTTACATTGCAGCAACACAGGTTTACATTGGACATTAGGAAAAATTTCCTCTCATGGTAGTTAAGCACGAGAATAAATTGCCAGGGGAGATGGTGGAATATCCATCATTGGAGATTTTTAATAGCAGATTAGACACCTTTCAGTGTGGTCCAGATAATGCTTAGTCCTACAACGAGTGCAGGGAACTGAAGTAAATGACTTCTTGAAGTCCCTTCCAGTCCCATGATTCTATGATTGTTTAAAAGCACTAAATTGATTTTTATTATCTCTAGCTTATTCACTCAATGAAGGGCACACTACATCTGAATTAAAAAAAAATGGAGGCAGAAATAGAGCGGACAAATCCTCTGTGTTCCCAAATATTTGTGTCTTCTCCTTTTGACAGGTTTTATTTGCTGTGAAAGTTAAAACTTAATCCAGACCTTTCAAATTCCCTGTCCAGAGGTAGGCAATGTAATCCCCTTTAACCAGGAAACCATACAAATCTGCAGCTATGCAACAAAACATTCTTCTGGGATATCACAGTGGCACTGACTGTAGTTATGAAGTTTTACTGTAAAAGGCCTTTAGGAATTAAGCAATAAAGAGTACAAGTGAAATGAGATTAGAAAAAGCAAAACCTAAAGAGGCTTTAAAAATCTACTTTTAGAATTTGTGCATACTTTTGAACACCATAAGCCAATTCAGGTCTTGATTCAACAGTAAGACTATATACAGTAAAACTCCACTGGTCCGGCATCCAATGGTCCAGCACTCCTGATGGGCCGGCACCATCTGGAACCCAGAAGTGCTCTGGGCAGCCGGACAATTGGAGCTGCTCTGCCCCCGGCCTCCCTGATTCAGCCGCTGGTCAGCTTCAGCAGCGGCTGACTTGGGGACGCCTGGCGCAGAGCAGCTGGGGTGCTGCTGGGTTGGTCCCATAGTGCCGCTCCTCAGCGCTGTGGGACCAACCCGGCAGCACCCAGGAAGCCCAGGGCCCAGCTGCTCTGCCCCGGGCTTCCCGTAGTCAGCCGCTGGTCAGTTTCAGCAGCAGCTGACTTGGGAAAGTCTGGGGCAGAGCAGCTGGGGTGCTGCCGGGTTGGTCCCGCAGCGCCGAGGGGCGCATCCCCCCCATTCCACCCCAGATCCCTCATAGCCCCCCCTTCCGATAGTCCGACGTATCTGATAATCCAGCACCCCCTGGGTCCTAAAGGTGCCAGATTTTCGGAAGTTTACTGTACTACTTTGATTCTCAATTTTAAAACAACATTTCATTACATTATGATTACATCTAAATGTGCAATGGATTTGTCTATGGGACTAAAATAAAAGTATGTTAATAGTTCAAGTTCTTGCCACAATTTTATATTGGGAATAGGACTTACTTGTTAAGTATTTTGGCTCTTTTAGCACTTGAAAAATTCTCCAGTTGCAAAGATTCTTGTGTAAGAAAAGCAACAGCCAGGTGGAAGTAGTTGTTCCAAAGCTGAAAATCAGATAGATGAGAAGAATAAATAATATTGAATCTTTGAAGTGTTCTTCTGCACATCCACAGAACATCTTAAAATACAGTTTATGTGCATTTTAATAGAAAAAAGCAATGGACATCCTCTTCTTGAAGAGCTCTTAGACCATCTACATATTGTTTATATTTTTAACAAAATTGACTGTTTACACAAAATCAAAGGTATTTTGATTATTCAAACACAATGAAATATGAATGCATGAGTCTCTGTGAGTGTGTGTGTGTGTATATATATAGAGAGAGAGAGCGAGAGCGAGAGCCATATATATAGATATAGATGTATATAGTCATATATATAGTGATATATATTTAAACATCAATAATGGGGATGTTAATTTGGATTAATCAACTAATTGAGCAGTCGATGGAATTTCCATTGTCTACTCAATTTGTCGATGGGGTGGGGGGGGAGCGCTCCCTATGCTGCTGTGCTTCTCCCTTTGAATTGTACAAGAACCACCTGCAGCTTTTGTACCTTTCAAAGGAAAAGGCAGCAAGACTGCTTAGGTGATGGGGGGAGCCAGCTTTTAAGCTGGCTCCCCCCAGCACCATCTCCTGCTCCCCCCCTTGCTGCCTCTCTCTAACAGAGGCAGCGCAAGGGGTGTGTGTGAAGCGACTAGTTGAGTGACTACTCGACTATCTGATAAGCTCATGCTTATTGGTTAGTCAACTAGTCGCTTACATTCCTAATCCATAATTTCATTTATATATGAATGAGTGTGTGTGTGTGTGTGTGTGTGTGTGTGTGTGCGTGCATGAGAGAGTGACAGAGATTTAAGTTTACTGAATGTCCATATAAAAGCTTGTTGAGGGACAGATAGGGCTGCCTGTTCCATATACAGTTATTTTTGGATATACTTTTAGGAACATAAGTCTGGAAGTGACCTCTGAGTCATTGAGTCCAGTCCCTTGCTATCGTATCATGTTTCTCTTGAGGTGGGTGACAGGGAAGGGATCACGTGAGGATTACCTGTTGTGATCCTTTCCTCTGGGGCATCTGGTATTGGCCACTGTCGGCAGACAGGATACTGGGCTAGATGGACCCAGTATGGCCGTTCTTATGTTCTTATAGGCAATCTCATTCCCTCATCTCATTCATAAACATGTCACACTATCTCAGAACTAATTAGGTTGTTTGCTCCCATTGCTATTGGAAAGTAACATGTTCCAGAACCTCACTTCTTTAATGGTCAGTTTATACCCATTTGTTCTTGTATCAACTTTTTTTTTATTTTAAATAATTCTTCTCTCTTTTTCTGGTGTCCTCTCCTGCTCTTCATATACTTATTCAGAGCAATCATCTCCCCTCTCACCCTTCATTTTACTAGGCTAAGCAATCCAAGCTCTTTTATTTCTTGTCCTAAAACAGGCTCTCTCTCTATTCACCTGTTCATCCTAATAGCCCTTCCCTGCTACTGTTCCAGTTTGAAGTAATCTTTCTTGAATGTGGGTGACTAGAACAGTACACAATACTACAGATGCCTTGTATTATAGCAGTACCATTCCCTTATCTCTAATGGAAATACCCTGCCTCATGCATCCTAAGATCCCAATTGACTTTTTATGGCTGCATCACATTAGTAGTTCACAGTTACCTCATGATCAACAAATACACCCAGATTCTAATCCTGCTCTGTTGTTTGTAATTGATGAGCCTGGAGTTTATAGCAGAATTTCTTGTTGTTAGTCCGTAAACTCATGAACTTGCACTTTGTACTTTTAAATACATTCCCATTTCTCTTACTCCAATCTTGTAAAGCAGACAGTTCTTCCTGTGAAATATTCCTGTCCTTCCCTCTATTGATGATGCCTCCCAACTTCATGATGTCAGGAAGTATCATTAACACGTCTTCTTTTTGTGCCAAGGCCATTAATGGAAGTATTAAATGTAATCAATTCCAAAACTGATTCTTGAGGAACTCCGCTGGAAACTATCAAAGGAAGTTTCCTATAATGAATCTAAACAAATTACAACACTGTGATAATGTTAACAGTCTCCAACCCACATTCCACTATATGGCGACCTCAGAATTCGGTTTCATAAGAGCATTGCTAGTGTTCTCTCCTATTGCTACAATATCCTCTGTAGACCTCAATGCATTTCCAATATATTTTCTGAAGCACTCTGCATACTTACAGTGAAAGAAAGAAAGAAAGAAAGAAAGAAAGAAAGAAAGAAAGAAAGAAAGAAAGAAAGAAAGAAAGAAAGAAAGAAAGAAAGAAAGAAA